TCAGCCTGGAACTGAAAATATGGATGGAGGAGAACAGAGCTGCTTCATGGAAGAAGAACCTCTGCTTATTAACGTATTTACATAATGACTTTAATTGTTGGATGTTCGGCCCCTAAGCTGCTGACCTGCAGAACTGTGGCCCCCGGAACAATTTCTTGCTTATTGTAACTCCACAATCCCCCATTTTATTAGCCTGGCCCTTGCTTTCCTACGCAGTTCCGCTCAATTCTAGTTTCCCTTCACTGCTCCATCTGGGATTTCTCCTATAGACAAGGATTTCTTCAGGAGAATTTTTATCTGGGCCAATCAGAGAACAGAAGGCGGAGTTTTGAACTACAATGTTGATTTTCTGCGCAGAGTCTGCTTGTAGTTTATTTCACCTGGGTCAATCAGCAAACAGAAGGCGGGGTTTTGAATGACGTTGATTTTCCGCACTGCACAGTGTCTGCTAGTTAGTTCAGCATACGGCAGTGGAGGAAGTGAATGAAGCCAGTCTGTGTTGATAAGGCTTCCAAATTAAATTAAATTTGTCTGACAAAGCAGCAGCTCTCATTTACAGTCATCTTGTTCGGCTCGGTACTTTTCTCCTCTCAGTAGGGTTGTTTACAGCGCTCGCAATTTCCGGTTAGCTTCTTAGCTTAGCCTCCTTCACAGAGGAAGTTAGGGTTAGCACACGTACGTCGCGGCCAACCGATCCAATCATTTTAAACTTCAGCAGAGGCCACGCCTCCAGCAAGAATCACTTCTCTATAGCCGAGAGTCCAGACCCTCGTACGAAGCAAAGTGTAGGAAAAAGGTCTGGTTTTAACCAGGCTACCCTTTTATCCCTTTTGAGGCTGTCTCTTTAAATTCATCTTCCAGAGCAGCAGAAACTTTTTTTTTTATTTTATAAATTGATTAATAGATGTCCATTTATCCTTAAATGTTGAAGCCAGAGTCTGACCCAGAGCAAGAGGAGAATAGAGATGATGAAACAGAACTTTTTTGGCATTTCTGTCACAAAAGCTTAAAGTAATAGTTCAGTAAACATCAGAGAAAACTGAACAAGTTGACAAATTTAACTCAAACAGAATATGCATCTACGCAGAATCAGGAGAAACTAGATTAAAACTGTCTCCAAGTTCACAACAAAATGCATTTAAGGAATAAAAATATGGATTTTGCATGAAATGTCCTTTTTAACTTTCAGAGACATCAGACGGGAARAAGTTTGCCACCTCCTTGTCCTCGCCTCCTGCTGACACCGTTATTTTCGCCCCCACATTGGACACATTTCTGAGGGTCAACAGGTAAATATCTCTGAAGGGAGTCTTTGCCTCAAGTGGAAGAGTTCAGCATCTTGTTCATGTGTGATGGTAGGACAGAGATGGATTGACTGATCCGAGCCTCATCCTCAGGAATGAGGGCATTGTTTCAGTCTGTCGCAGTGAAGAAAGAGTTGAGTTGAAAGGCAAAGTAAGTGATCTGTTTGTTTCAGCCCTCATTATGATCCAAACTCCACATAGCAAGATTTGTCTGGCCCAGTTCTGGCCCACACAATGCTCAACCCAGATACCACAAAGAATGGCCCTTTGGTCCATGCCTGGGCCAGCTCCACATAAACCATAAACGGGTCAGCTGTGTCATCTTAAAACAGTGTCATCATTGCCAGACCTGATTAACAAATCACTCGCCATGCCAGCAGTCAGTCAGCAGTGCCAGCTTAACACCAGATCGGACCCATACCTGTCTGCTATGTGGGCTAAATTAGCTTCTTTTTGCTAATTTCAGGGTTTTTTTCCCAGTTACTCAGCTTAGTTCAGCTATTTTTAGCTTTTTTTAGCAGCTTTCACTAAAAATAATTCAGAAATAAACATTCACATTGCATTTTCTCAAGAAATGCTTTTCCTCTAGTTTACTATATTTTGCAAGTATAAACCATCTCTTGCATTTTTATGGTTTGCTTTAAATTCGAGGATTTTGTATGTTTCTCAATTATCTTCTAGAACAATTATTATTGTGACCAGACCGTCTTTCAACATTTACTTTTTTGCTAAGGAAACTATTATGTGCCAACACAACTTACCCCTTGATTTGATGTACCCATTAATTTACAAAATGGTTGTATATTTGTATTGTGTGACACATTTCTCATTGTGAAGAAATGAGAACTGACTTTTTATCATAACACTGTAGGAATCACGTGCTTCCTCAAATCTTTTGAAAGCAAGGGCTGAGGAAGCTCTAATGTGATTATTTTAACTTATGATTGCTTTCTGTGCCAAGCTAATTATTATGTTGTAATACAAACCCACAAATAAACTTTAATTAATACTTTTTAATGATTGTTAACAATTTAACAGTGTGTCAGTTAAATGTGGTTTCAAGTTAATCCTTACATGAAGCTTGAATTAATGTTTTCCCAAAATATATGTTGTAAGAAGAGCAGCTTAACTTGTCAGTGCAAAATGTTATCTCTTATAATAAGTACCTGCCAT